AATGAAACAAAAACACAACTCCAGGTGTGTTTTTGACGAAGAAACAACTGTACAGAGATCAGAAAACAGTGTAAAATGGGTCCTGCCTGGAATGTTCCACAGTGTAAATATAAATGGATCTATTTCAAAACAGATTAACAGCTCAGTTAAGCCCCAAAAACACCGTCACCATCCAAAAAAAAAGGCACTTCTGATAAAATATTTTGTCATTTTTACCCGCCAGCGTTCAATCTTATATATAAACCCCTTTATTTTAAAAACATATTGACAGAAACATGCTCCAATTTCCTATTTTAGCAGCTCAAAGTTGTTTAACCAAATGGTTTAACCTCTAAAAAGAATTACAGGGACGTTGCACACTGGCAGGCCTTCAGTGGTACCAGTTTAGCTCACACCTCTAAGACATATTTAAACCTGACCCCTCCAAAAGGTGATGGACACGAGTGAAGGGCGTTTAGAGTTGTTTTGTGCTTCCTGTGTCTGTGACTGTGACTGTGTGTGCCAAAGAGAAAGAAAGAGAGAGGGACAGACGGAGGGAGGGAGGGCTGGGGACATGGAGCAGAATCACATGTAACCTGAAGCTCGCCTCTGCTGATATGATGACAAAAGGGTTTTAATGTACTGCCGATCAAAGCAAAACGCATTATCTACTGTCCCGACTCATCAAGGTCACGATAAACAGGAAGTGCGGGGAGACGGCTCAGGGGCTGTCCCGCAAAGTACTTTAACTGAGGAATGAAACAAAACACAACTCCAGGTCTGTTTGTGATGAGGAAACATTATAACATAGATCAGAAAACAGTGTAAATAAGGGAGATTTAAGGCGTTGGACCTACAGAATCTCACACTAATAACAGACTGACCCCAGAACTCAAGATCTGTCGACTAGTTTGAGGGTAAATACTTTTTCAATAGAACAATTCTACTAAATACAAGTTATTTTATCAACTACTATGCTACAAATACTACTACTATTACTACAACTACTACTGCTACGACTAATGCTACTACTACTACTGTTACTATTACTACTACTACTACTACTACTACTACTACTATTGCTACTACTACACCACTACTACTACTACTGCTACTACTACTACTTCTGCTACTGCCACTACTACAACTACTACTACTACAACAACTACTACTACTACTACTACTACTGTTACTATTACTACTACTACTACTACTGCTACTACTACTGCTACTACTACCACCACTACTACTACTACTGCTACTACTACTACTTCTGCTACTGCCACTACTACAACTACTACTACTACAACTACAACAACTACTACTACTACTACTACTACTACTGCTGCTGCTACTACTACTGCTACAACTACTTCTACTACCGCTACTACTACTACTACTATTTCTGCTACTGCCACTACTACTACTACTACTACTACTACTACTACTACTACTACTACTACTGCCACTACTACTACTACTGCTACTACTACTACTTCTGCTACTGCCACTACTACAACTACTACTACTACTACTACTACTACTACTACTGATGCCACTACTACTAATACTGATACTGCTACTACTACCATTATTACTACTATTACGACTATTACTACTATTACTAATACTACAACTACTACTACTTCTACTACTACTGGTATTACTGCCACTACTGCTACTGCTACTACTACTACTACTACTACAACTATCACTACCACCACTACCATTACTACTACTACCATTACTCCTACTGCCACTACTACTACTACTATTACTACTATCAGCACTACTACTACTACTAATACAACTAATACTACTACTACGACTACTTCTCCTCCTCTTCCTACTACTATACTACTACTGCTACTGCTACCACAACTACTACTACTGCTGCTGCTGCTACTACTACTACTACAACCACAACCAATACTACTACTGCTACCACTATTACCACTACTACCTACTACTACTACTACTACTACTACTACTACTACTACTACTGCTGCTGCTGCTACTACTACTACTACTACTACTACTACTATTACTGCTGCTACTACTATTACTACTACTACTACTACTACTGCTGCTACTACTATTACTACTACTACAACCACAACCAATACTACTACTGCTACCACTATTACCACTATTACCACTACTACTACTACTACTACTACTACTACTATTACTGCTGCTACTACTATTACTACTACTACTACTACTACTACTACTGCTGCTACTACTACTACTACTACTACTACTACTACTACTATTACTACCACTACTGCTAGTAGTACTACAGCCACTGCCACGACTACTACTACTACTACTACTACTACTACTATTACTACCACTACTGCTAGTAGTACTACAGCCACTGTCACGACTACTACTACTACTACTACTACTACTACTATTACTACTGCTAGTACTACTACAGCCACTGCCACTACTACTACTACTACTACTACTACTACTACTACTACTACTACTAGTACTACTACAGCCACTGCACTACTACTACTACTACTACTACTACTACTACTACTACTACTACTACTGCTAGTACTACTACAGCCACTGCCACTACTACTACTACTACTACTACTACAGCCACTACTACTACTACTACAGCCACTACTACTACTACTACTACTACTACTACTACTACTACTACTACTACTACTACTACTACTACTACTACTACTACTACTACATTACTACTAAAAGAGTTGTGTATATCAGATCACTTTAGTCCACGTGAGTTGTTATAGTTTTAACTGGTTAATAACAGCAGTTTCTTTTTTGATTAAATAACCTTTTCTTTTTCTTTCTATACAGTGTTTCAGGTCAGTACATCTCTGTGATAAATGATGTACTAACTGAAGTTGTACGAACTGTTCAGGGAGCGATGTAAGAGAAGACTGAGTGAGTTCAGCGAGGCCAAGGTTCGCCTGTTTAAACTGCCTTAATATTACAGGTATTTTAATGGCTGTGCTTCATGTCATTAAAGTTGTAATATTTTCAGATGAATGATTTAAATATTATGCTTCACCGTTCTATTGAAGAGAATTTACAAGCACTCAGGAGCGGTCATCTCCCAGTATGAACATCTGGGGATCGCTTCTTGCATGGTTGTGTCCTTAGGCAAGACACTTAATGCATTTTGTGAATGAATCAAGCTGCATACACTACCAGTCAAATGTTTGGACACACATCTCTTTCTGTGTTTTTTTTTATTTATTTTTACTACTTTCTACATTTTAGATAGCTACAGGAGACATCGCAAATAGGAAGTAAGAAATTAGAGTATGTAGCGAAGGAAAAAAGACATCAATCCTCAAAGCAGTCACCTTTTAGCCGCTCAGTTTCTTTTCTCTCCAGCGACTAGGTCAGGAATCGGAATACACTAGACGGTTTGTAAGATCCCCGGAAGTTGTAGATTGCGGACCGGTCAATCAGTGAAGATCTGTGAAGCCATGATGTCAAACTCAAGTGTCGGTCTGGGCCCCTTTTGTGGAACAGCACAACAGTAAACAAAGCATCGAGATGGATGAAGGCGAACCGTACATTCTGTGTTGGCAACGATTCCCAAGACTGAGGATTTAAGCCGGAAGAAAGAATATGTTTGGTGAATTTTATCAAGGGGAAAGACATTATTGCCCTTCTTCCAACGGGATTCGGCGCATTACAAACGTCACGACCAAATAGCAGTGACTGGTTAAATAAAAAAAATACCTGTCTACCGCCGAGCGAACAAATCCTAATGCTGCGAGGTCAGACTGTTTCCGCGAAGTGAAACGGGCTGATGAATCAGGCGAGTCATCTTTTGCTTTATTTAAAAATATATTAAAAATGACATATAAATGACCATTTTCTTTACTACATAGTTCCATATATCTTGGTGATATATTTTATATACCTTTATATACCTTCTGTAGGTATATAAAATGCAGAAAATAGTAAAACAATTTAAATAAAGAAGAAAAAACTAGACAACTAGAGGGTGAGTCCAAACTTCTATCAAAGGTTTGGACATCAAATATATGAAGCTGCTTTGAGGAGTTGAATAAACAATATTTAGTAGAGTTATTTACCTCATTTTAATTTACTACATAACTCAATATATTTTACTTCATATATCTGATGTCGTCAGTATGTATATAAAATGAAGAAAGTAGTAAAAAATAAAATGTTCAAAGTTTTGTCTGGCAGTGTATTTCAGCCTGTGGAGATGTTATTGCTTTGTCTGGAATGTTTCCCAGTATGGCATTAAAGGTTGTTCAGAAGATTTTCCAAGGAAAGAGAAATGCACCATTCTATTTCAAATGTCGCGCTTCGCTTCTCTTCCCTTTCTCTCCTTCTTTCAGCGACGTCAAAAACAGACTTTCTTTTGCGGCGAACTGCTCGTGGATTTCTTGTCTGCCATTGCAACAAACATTGTGCAGCTACAATTCGAAAAAGACACTAAGAACCGCTGTGTTAGCTGAGTAAACAGAATCAGTGCGTGAGAGGCAAACGTAAACCATGTAATCTCAGCGTGCCGGCAAGTCAGTGACGCTAGAAACGTAGGGAGTTTGATTGACAACCCAACAGCCAATAGATAAAGAGGTAGCCTTGTTATCTATTGGCTGATGTTTATCTGCCCCCACCACATCCACAGTTGATGGATTTTCATTCTTTTATTTTTGGTCATCATAATTACAAGGCTGCTTACAAGGCTAATTCTATTTTGAACTTTCACCAACCAAAAAAAAAATCCTCCATACAACCTTTAAACCTTTCTATCTTTATGGAGACCAAACTAGACCAAGTTACAGGTCAGATCTGTGGAGAGGCGACCCCGCTCACAGTCAGAATGTGTTTTTCTGAGTATTTTTGAGCTATAAAACCATCTGTAATTGAATAAACATAAGGTAGAGCTGTTTAATGTCACACTGTGGAACATTCCAGGCAGAGCAGTGACATCTCCATAGAAACAAGCAAGTGAAAGTTACACCGTGCACCTTTCGACTTACCCACAGTGGCGACGGTGTCATCCTTTCCTTGCGTGAACACCACTATCCGCTGTCTCTTTGCGTTCTCCTTTGGCAAATTCTGGGCCTTTTTGGCAATTTCGCCGATATCCTCCGTCTGTTTAAAAACACACAGAAGAGAGAAACGGAGAGATGGAAAGACAGAAAGAGAAAGAGAGAGAGAGCTAGTTAGGAGTTAGGTTCACAGTAAATGCTCTAAAGAGGTTGTGTTATTTCAGAAGAGTCCGTCGGAGCAGTGCTGTATGGAAGGCCGACATATTTGTAACTGCTGCTGCCAGTCGGATCAAGTGATAATGAAAACAGATGGGCCCTGAAGATCAATATGACTCTCAATGTGGCGGACTAAATATTAAAGATGTCTGATGACTCCATGTTCCCTCAGAAAGCTCCAAATAGGAAAATGTACAATGTAAAAATAGGAGATGGGGTTAAAGCTACAGTTTGTGCTCATCAGACTGGTCGCCCTGGATCCTCAATCATTCATTAAAAGATTCTATATTACACAAAATTTACTCTTACAACATCCACACTACAGTCCCCGACAAAAGTCTTGTCGCTTATCCATTTTGTAGAAACAAAAGCTTATAACCTGAGTTTAAATTAATCGATTGGTTTTAGAAATGTCTCATATGAAAGCTAAAACCCTCCCAAATTATGCTCAATAAACTAAAATAAATTTGCTTCACTGAAGAAAGATTGATCATTTAATGAACACAGAAAGGTCAGATTTTGGCAAGACAAACGTTTTGTCGCCTACAGAAAATTTAACAAATAATTTACTTCAAATACAAAAATATGTTGCATAACGTCAGTGAATTAAGTAGTGGTGCTGTGAGATCCATATTTAATATCTTGTATGACTTCCATGAGCTTGAAGGACGCATCCATGCGGTTCGACAAAGATTCATACAATTTGTTGATATCGTTACACCCCTACAAGTTACAGGTCAGATCTGTGAAGAGGCGACCTCGCTCACAGTCAGAATCTTTGTTTTACTAAGTATTTTTGAGCTATAAAACCACATGCAATTGAATAAATGTAAAGTAGAGCTGCTTAATGTCACACTGTGGAACATTCCTGCCAGAGTAATGACCCACCAACCAAAAAGTTACATAGTGCACCTTTAAAGGTCATGTACAAAGTGTAAGGTAAGGAAGGCGTTGTGCTTTGTACTGCATCTAAATATAAAGCGTTATACTGTTAGATAATCAGGAAGTGTATGTTTGCATGCTAGTTGTTGTTGGCATTACTGTGATGGTCTCTGAAAGTTGTGAAAAAAGTCATCACGGTGAATAATTAGGCTGCAGGTAAGATAGACCTGTAATTGAATAGATGTAAGGTAGAGCTGTTTAATGTCACACTGTGGAACATTCCAGGCAGAGCAATGACATCTCCATGGAAACAAGCAAGTAATGCCCCCCCCCAAAAAAATGTTACTTAGTGCACCTTTAACGACTACCTTTTACCTTCTGATCAGTAGAGATCGGCAGTTCCAGGTCTGAAATGATCCAAATGATTCTAGTGAAGGTGTACGGCGTTTAAAAGCACAACGAAGCACTTCCTGTATCACCACATGACATCACAAGGTGGAACAGACAGAACTCCCAAACTGAAAACGGTCAAATATGCAGGAGTTGTAGAAGTAAAGTAAACCTATGTCTGTTTTTCACGTTTTAAAGACAGGAAAAATTCTGCTTTAGTGTATTTTGGCATTATTACTCCATTATTTATTGTAATAGCAGTAATCGGTTAACCCTGTCCCAGTGATCTTTCACACTCCTAACGCTTCCCAAACGCTCGGTAATCAGCCCGCGGTGCTCACACACTCTAAGTAAGTGCTAATGGGGAGGTTAATGCTCGTGCAGTTAGCCGAAAAAAAGCCATTTGTCACTGGGACCGTGTAAAACCACAAGCACGGGGCCCACACGCCTGTACCTGAAAACCACCGAGACTTTCGCACATTGTCGCCATCAGTTTTATGTTCGGGGAAATAAAAAAGGCGAGCACTAAAGCTTAAGGAGCGGCGAGGAGAGAGGTGGGAGTTAAATGTTGTTTAGAGGTGAGATGGTAAAACGTGAGGTGAGCCAAATGGGACGACCATAAAGGTCCTGTGGTGCACGAAACCGATTCTTGTGAGCTTTAAGTCATGTTATAATGCTGTTACGTGCTCAAAAACAGACCTGGAGCTGTGTTTTGTTTCATTCACGTGTGTTTCAGTAACCTCTGTTCCACTTTGTGATGTCATGAAGCAGTAGTTTTCATGCTAACAGCTGCATTTTACCTTTTGTTCAGTAGAGATGAGCAAATACAGGCCTGAAATCATCCAAAATATTCTAGTGAAGGTGTGTGAAGTTTAAAAACACAGTGGAGCACTTCCTGTTTCAATTTGTTTTAACATTATACAAGCAGGAAAATAAAATTAATGCAAAGTGCTGCTTGGTAATACTAATAAGTTAAATAAAATATTCTCAAATAAGCAACAAATGTATGAAATATTATAAAAAAAATAACTTCCTTGTAAACAGTAAACAAAACTTTTCAAAAAGTAAAGCGCAGCACTAACAGTTCCAGGATGAAGTTTTACTCAATATTCATATTTTTGGCCCGAAAATCCAACTTGTCCACATTGTCTGCAGTAAGAGGAAGGCGAAAACGAGGACCACGGCGCAACGACCGTAGTTTTGAAGGATTCATGTGGTTCGGAGCAAGGATGGGCATTCAATAAAATTTTCTTAATCGATCATCGGGAGAATTAGCGATACATTTGTGATTAATCATTAATGTTTTTATATTAAAATTATCATCATTATTATTACTATTACTAATCTGCAAAAATAAACTCAACTTTACAAAATATAAACCATCACCACTACAGAACCACATCAGCCCGTTTGACATAATTCAGATTTGACACATTTGTTTACGTTTTACAGAAACGAAACTTAAAACCACATGACTCATTTGCATAAACTGTCAGCGCCGAAAAAGGCAACTCTTTCCTTGTGCGCTGATGCGGTTCAGCTTCTGTCGGACTGAAGGACACGACTCAGGGGAATATGAGTGTTCTTTCTGTGACAGAGGATGTTGATGATGATGATGATGATGATGAGTCTGTGTGTGTGTCGTGTTGGAGATGGTTCATGTTTTCAGAGATCATACGTGTGCAGGTTTAGTGCAGTTCTTTATGTTGCAGTAACCAGGATACTGCGTATACGATACATGCACCATAATGAAACCGGGACACTCATGTGCAGGTAAACGCTCTCACTGAGTGGTACAGTGACCTCCAAGGAGAAGCCAGAGCCCAAACGTGGGACAGTGAGGCCACAACTCCAGTGTTTGTGTCAGACACGGCCTCGTCTCCTTACGCTACACACAGCAACCTATATTCGGTTTGTCGATATAAAATTTATAATGATCAATTATCGATTAGTCGACTAATCATGCCCATCCCTTGTTTGGAGGGACATAGACAAGATGGGGAGGCAGTTGTTGTCAAGGCAGTCGCCCTAAATATAAAGTGATGCGGGAAACACTGTGTCAGAATAATTTTATTATCCCATATTTGCTAAATACTTGTGTGATATTCTAGGCCTATGAGTTAACCATTTATGTACTACAATTCTTTGATTTATAATGAACCAATCACTTGTATGAAAATGAATAACCTCTGTGTGTTTGACAACTGTGTGCAGTGTCCTATCGCTCTAGTGAACCTCGAGATGATTCCTCACATGAAGCCAACTCCCACTGTCACACATGCAAGAGTCATGCCTCCTAATGAAATAAAAAGAGGAGAACGGCCTTGAGTCATCAGAACGTGTGGAGACGGTTGGTTGTGATGCCCACTCTCTGCCCGTTCTCCTCGCGAGTAAAACTGAATTAATCTCTTGTCTTTCTTCTTGTTTACAATGTTTAGATAAACCTAACACACTGCCACCCCAATCACAGACAAGTTCACTCATCAATATTAAAGAGCCGAGCTTTTGTATAGCTGCACATGTAGTGGTCAAATGTAAACACACAAATTGAACAAATTCACTCTTGCACTGCCCTGCACTGAACCGTCCTGCACTGAAACGGTTCGGCATGAACACATGTACCGTTCCATCCCTAACTCCAGGTATTCTTTGAGGTAACAACATTATAATAAGACTTAAAGCTCACGAGAGTTAATTTTGCGTAATGACCTTTAATAGATTAACTTATTTGAAAATATTTACATTATTTTTGACATAGTTTCTAGTAAAAAGCAATGTAAAATTACAGTAATTCATGAAGACAATTATTACAAAAGACTATTAGTAGTTTAGATTTTTTTTTATAGTGTGAACATGTAAACTGTGCTGTGACATTTCTGATTCAAAAACGTGATTTATCTTGAAATAAGAAAAATAAATGACTGCGTGCTTGTCGCTATAGAAACGTTCATATACTCCTCATGTTCCTCACAGTCTTACAGTGGGGACAAAAAAAAAAAAAAAAAACGTGCTCTGAGCAGGTCTTTGAACTGCACACGACTGATGTCACCTGAACAATCACATCAGCGAGCGCCGCCAAATCAGGTCGTCACGGAAACGTCAAAGAGCTGTACCTGTGCTCCTCGCGCTGACACTGTGCCCTCAGTCCTGTTCTTGTTCATTTTTCTTCTCTCTTTCTCTCTTCTGTCTCTCCTCCTCTTCTACATGTTCTGTTTCTCGACATTCAGATCTCTCTCTCTCTCTCTCTCGCCTTCATCTCTTCATCCTTTTACGTCTCTGGTTTCACCTTTAAACTCTTACTTTCTCTCTTTTTCTCTCTCTCTCTTCCTCTATCACCTTTTCTTCTCTTCTCCTCCCCTCTCTCTTCTTACTCCTTCTTCCCTTCTTCCTCCATCGCTCCCTCTCTCTCTCTCTAATACCTGTCACTTCCCTCTTTTCCTCTCTCTCTTGTCTTCTCTCTGCCTCACTTCTCTCTCTCTCCTTCTTTCTCTCACTTCCCTCCCTCTTCTCTCTCTCTCTCCCTCCCTTCTTCTCTTTGGAAATAGAAAGAGAAAGAAGGAGAGAGAGAGAGCTATCTCACCTGTCACATCCCTCTCCCTCCTTCTCTCCCTCTCT